CAACTATACGCCAGATAATCTAGTTTAGCCGGACGCGTATTTTGACTGTCAATTTGGACGGTCAATAATCCAGCTCACTGCCACGTCAACGACAAATAAATAAAAAATTCAAAATATTTTCATGTTTCATTTATTTATCTAATAATAAAATAAACAACAAAAAACAAAATTGCATTTATTTCGTTCATCACCATTAATTGGGCTTAAGGGGGAGAAGAGGAAAAAGGGGAATTCGTCCATCCCCAGATTTGATTACCACCACCATATGAATCCTTCGTTCAAACCCTCGATCCCTCTCCCACATTGCAGGATATGGCTCATGACGTTGACGATGTGGCCGCCATCGCTGAGGTCGAATAGAAGGGAATTACTGCTGCTCATATTCCGCCAAGTTGAGGAGTCTCTTTCCCCTCTTGACGATGAAGCATGGATTGCACTAGCGAAGTCCCCAATTCCCTTGCTCTCGAGACCCCTATTCTCATTCACCGACACCGGGATTGAGGAGAGTTTCGATGAAGGTAAGCAGTCCACATTTATTAATTATTATTCGACGAATTGGAAAGCAAGAAAGAAGTAGGTGGAAGATGGTGGCGAGCTCTAAGACGTCACGGGAGGCAGATACTTGGTTCGCGGCTGTATCGAACCATCTACGGGAGGCCTAACTGGGACTCTCCTATACGGGTGGACTCGCCGGGCATTGGGGACGACTCTATTGCGCTAACGGGTGGAGCCTTCTCAAACTTGTTTGAAAGGTTGTGGACGTCCGGAGACCCTAAGGACATGACGATAGAGGATGAGGAGTGGAGGATTGGTTCTACAGGTGGGTTGCTTGGAGAATCAATTTGCATGGAAATGGCATTTCCTTTTGCAAGGGTACGTGTGAATGTAATGCATGGGAAGGAAGCATGGAAGGGTCGGTTTGGAAGAGGAATGTCCTAGCTTCTCGTTGGCAGTTGATGGAGTTGATTTTGTTGGAGTAACCCATCCACTCGCTCTTGATATGAGGATTGCGTATGTAGGGGATTTCGATGTTGGAATTGTTCGAGTGCCCGGGCTAATTGGAAGTTCCGTAAAGGAGGTCGGCATCATCAACGAACATCCGTTCTCTTCGTATCATCAACAACTTTTTCATCGATCCGGGTTGAGACGTTGTTTGAACTTCGGGGACGATGTTTTTCGAAGGGGAGGATTGTTGCATTATAACTTTATGACGTTTATAATAAATATATTATTATTAAGTAATCGGGTTGGGTTAAGGGGGTTTATATTAGTCGTATTATTAGAAGTCTATGTTAATTAGTAGGTTTCCTAGTAGTCAATTACTACTTTGCGTAGGAAAAGGGTGAGAGGTTTTTGTGGAGTAAGGGCCAAGTAATGGGTTGCCTTGGGTTTGGTGTTCGACTAGGATTAGGACTAGTTTAGGGTTACGTCTTTGCTATATATATGTACTTGTTGTTCCATTCGGATAATCAATGAATAATAAGAAGTATTAAGAAAACAATGTCCCTCTTCTCTTAATTCTCGATCTCAATCTCTCTAAAGGCCTAGGCCGAATCTCGATTACTCAATGCTTGCACCGGCAAATTGCAAGAAAAATTATTCGGAGCCGGGATGCGATTTTTCTTGAAGATGAGACAAGTGAAAATGTCAAAAGGGGTGAAAAGAAGAAATATACAGCAGCTGATACAGTCAATTTGGAGTCTATTTCTCCATCCCAATTGCATGAAAATGATGAGGAAGTAGTGCATGATGAGCCCCAAGATGCACTAAATCAAGAAGTGCAACGAGAAGAGCATTTGGAGCAAGAAGAACAATTTTAAGAAGAGTAAACTCTACCCCAACCAAGATGGTCAACAAGAGATCGCAAAGATTCTACATGGTACTCCCCTCATGAATACCTATTGTTGACTGACGGGGGAGAACCCAAATACTATCAAGAAGCCATGGATCATGAAGACAAGGAGGATTGGAATGAAGCAATGCAAGAAGAGATGAAATCTTTGCAAGAGAATCACACCTATGATTTGGTGAAGCTAACCAAGGGAAGAAAGATTACTTAAGAACAAGTGGGTCTACAAGTTAAAGAAGGAGGAAACTAGCTCAAAGCCTCGGTATAGGACGCAACTAGTTGTGAAGAGTTTTAACCAAAAGAAAGATGTTGATTTTGAAGAAATGTTCTCTGACGTGGTGAAGATGTTCTTTATCCGAGTTGTGCTTGGGTTGGCTACAAGTTTGGAGTTGGAAGTTGAACAAGTCGATGTGAAGACGACATTTGTTCATGATGACTTAGAGGAAAAAATATACATGGATCAACCGGAAGGGTTCGAGGTTAAAGGCAAAGAAAATCCGGTATGCAAATTGAGAAAGAGCCTATACTGGTTAAATCAAGCACTAAGACAATGGTACAAGAAATTTGACTCATTCATGGTCAACCACGAGTATGCAAGAACTACCTCCAATCATTGTGTGTTTGTGAAATACTTTGCTGAAAATGATTTCATTATTCTGCTGTTTTACGTGGATGACATGTTGATCGTGGTTCAGAATGTTGGAGAGATTGATAGATTGAAAAAAAAGTTGAGTAAATCCTTTTCCATGAAGGACTTAGAACCGGCGAAACAAATTCTAGGGATCAAAGGAAAGGAAGATTTTGGTTGTTTCAAGAAAGGTATATTGAGAAAGGCGAAGGCAGTTAGTACTCCACTTCGAGGACATTTCAAATTAAGTTCGAAGCATTGTCCTACAAATGAGGAAGTGAAAGAAGCAATGAAGAATATGCCTTATGCATCAGCTGTTGGGAGCTTGATGTACGTCATGGTTTGCACAATGTTGGATATTGCTCATGCACTTGGGATTGTTAGTCGGTTTCTTTCCAATTCGTGGAAAAAACATTGGAGAGAAGTGAAGTGGATTCTTCGCTATCTAAGAGGTACTTCTAGAGTGTGTATGTGCTTTGGAAATGCCAAGACCATACTTGATGGATATACCGATGCTAATATGGCAGGTGATGTGGACTCTAGAAATTCGGCCTCTAGGTACATAATGACTTTTGCAGGTGCTGTACTTTCATGGCAATCTAAATTGAAAAAATGTGTTGCATTATCAACAACGAAAGACGAGGACATAGCCGTGACAAAAGCTTGCAAAAAGATGCTATGGTTGAAGAAGTTTCTTCAAGACTTGTGCATCGAGCAAGAGGTATGTGCTCTATTCTGATAGTCAAAGTGCAATCCACCTTTGCAAGAATCCTACTTTCCACTCACGGTCGAAACACATAGATGTTCTATATCATTGGATTCGTGATGTTTTGGAAGAAAAGTTGTTGGAGCTCAACAAAGTGCATACAAATGACAATGGTTCGGACATGATGACTAAATCTCTACCAAGTGAGAAACTTATTTTCTGTCACGAGGAAGCATGATTAGTACTACCTCCCATATGAGTTGGACGGGGAGATTTGTTGGGCTGGTCCAACTCATATGGTGGTTGGACTAACCAGTTTGAGTTTGGGTTATCTTGGACTAATTGGAGAGTTCAGAAGTCTTTCTAGAAGATCCTCTATTATTAAAATAGAGAGTCTTATTTTCTAGTAAAAAGTGAAAGAGGATACCGCCTTCCATTTGTGGACAGAGAATCAAGAGAAAAAGATAAGATAGAAGATAGAAGAAAGTAAGGATTAGAGAGAAACAGGAGGTTGCAGTTTTTTTGTGTCTGCAGTGGGGCAGTATGTTCAAGTGAGCATTCTGAAAATCGAATTATTAAATCATCTTGAAATTTAGGCAGCAGGGTTGCAATTAGTTGGGCTTCAATATGATCAGAGGGATCGTCGTGGTGATCTCTATTTCATTGGGAATCGCTGCTGGACAGGTGTACGAATCTGTTTTTGGTACTTCTAAACATCTCTTTATCTTGCTCTTGTTCTAGTTATCCACCATGTTGGTGAGACCTATTGTTGTTGGTTTTTGATTGGTGATCCAAGAAAGTTGTTCCTGAGGTGTTTGTAATTCTCTAACTAGTATAGAGAGGACTTATAATCCCACCAAAGTATAGTGAAGTTGTGGTTTGGACAAAGATCTTGTGGTTTTTCCTGATTTGGGGTTTCCATGTAAAAATCGTGTGTCTTGTGCATTATGTTCTTTCTTATGATTGTTGTCCCGTTTCTCAACTCATTGAAACCCCATTTCGAAGTGATCTAAGAAGCACCTTTCTTGACAATTTGTGATCCGGAGGGCGATAGACAACATTGTAAATGAGCAATTTTTGTGGGGATGTCACGGAGATCAGTGTTGGTTGTGGACAGAGAGAGGGAGTTGATGGTTCCCTTTCAATTTTTTTTAAGTTAAACCTCCATTGTTGATTGATCAAACAACTTCACAATTTATTAGAAGTAGTATTCAAATAATGATTTTTCTCATACATTTTAATTGATCATTTGCATTGGCAAGATGTTTGAACTAACATGCTTCATTTATTTTTCGTCAATAGAAAGTAATAGCATTTATACCTAAGTTTTGATTTAAATATTTGACACAAAAGACGTTATATTTTTCATTACTCTTGATCGATCAATGATTAGACTTTGCTACACTAGACGACATAATGTTATTTTCTTAAAATCCTAAATTTTTTGTCATTAGATCGATCATCTTAAGTACGATGATGTTAATGAATAAAGTATTATCTTGCACAAATCCAAAATAATTATCGTAAACCATCCTTTAAAGTATTATCTTGCTGCTAGTTAAGCATTTAAACTATGATACACAATAATAGTTCACTTTTATGAATCAAATTCATTTAGGGTAATGCGTAACGAACTGATAAAATCATATCTCACATGTAAAACAAAATGAATTCAAAGTTAAGTACTAGATTTTGCATCTATTTTTCCATTTCCATTTATTATTATTATTATTATTATTATTATTATTATTATTATTATTATTATTATTATTATTATTATTATAAATGCGGAGCGACGGTTTTGTTTTTCCTCTACAACAACGCTCTCGATCTTCACGTGTCTGTTTCTCTCTTCTCCTCCTCCTATATTTCTTTCTCTCCCTCCCTCGCGTCTGTTCTTCCTTCCTCCTTCCTTCCCCTGCTTCCCCCTTTGTTCTTCATTTCCCTTCCCGTTTCCTGCCCCCTTTTTCCCTCTCTCCGTTTCGTTCCCGCCGGCGGCAAGCTATTTCTTTCCCGACAGAGTTTCGGAAGAAGCCGTCTATACTCGTTCCTATCCGAACGACGCGCGCGGTTGGTTTCGAGGGCGAGAAGAGGTTTTACGAGGCGGGGCGACGGACTGAAAAGTAATTGAAAAAAAAATGGAGGGAAAGAAGCAGCATCCGGGATCGCAATCGTCTTCATCCTCTTCGTCGTTCACCTCCGAGCTGTTTGGCTCCAAGGAATCCTCGTTATCTTCTTCCTCTGGGATTTTCGGTTCCATATTTGCGCCGTCCTCTAAGGTACCTTTCATTAATCGAACCTGTACGTTAATCTCTCTACGTTCCTCTTCCTCGTTAACTTTTCTCTGTTAATCGGCTGTTTAGGGTCAGTTACTGTCCTGAATCTGGATTTTCAATTCGGTTTCCCTAGATTCAGAGTTGGATTTCGAATTTCGGTTTTCTCTGTGAAGCGGGCACGTTGTAGAGATTGTGTGAAGAAGAGCGTTAGAGAGAAAAAATTTATGACGTAATAATTCCTCTATTTTGTATGGATCTTAACCGATATCATTGATGGAACCTGACGTTGCCTATTAGCTTCACATGATTCAATAGAGCTCTTGTTCTTGTTTGGATTCTTTACGTTAGTTACTGTTTGTCGCAGCTTCTCTTAATGGAGGGCTGATGCTTGAGATTTTGCTTCCAAATTTTGGGTGATTTCAGGTGCTGGGGAGGGAGTCGTTGCGCCCAGAGAGGAAGGAGGATTCTTCTGCAAAACATGGAGCACCAGGTCTGTATATATTTTTTCTTTTTTTCTTTTCGTTTGGCCTTAAATTTGAATGTTGAACCACAAAGTAGATGAATGAATAGTTTAAAGATGGAAAGTGGCGTTTGTGCTGAAAGAAGGGATTGGATTGGTGTGTGATTTTGTTGTCTGCAGATTACAGTGCGAGAAGCCTTGAAGGTGATAACCAGAACACATCATATAGAGATATGAGCTCTATATATGAAGACCAGAGAGTACAGCCATGCCACCTCAGTTCTTCAATCTATTATGGTGGTCAGGATGTTTATCATCACCCGCAAAGTAATCAGAGCACTAATATCAACTCAACTGTGAGTATTGATCTCTGCATAGGAAGTAGTACCCATCAAATTTATAAGATTCTATTCTTCCTTTTGGGTTGGTTGAGCTTACTAATGCCTTTTAACTAGCCCTCAAGAGAACTATTGGGTAGGTTTTCAATGGGAATGTGTATCGAGGTGCCAGGAGGGGAATCATTCATTTCTTTCCTATGGAATTCTTTACCTTCCATGTAGAAAAGTGCAAACTATTTTCGTGTTGTCTGTCTGTATCATCTGAAATGGGTAGACTCGCTCACTATGCTGTGCTTGCTTCCTGTCTGCCTGTGTGTCCAGTTCAAGAAAGATGGCACTGAAGATGATTCCGGGGGTGCTTCAAGAGGGAATTGGTGGCAGGGTATGGATCCCCTATCCACCTGAGTCACTAACTTGTCATTCGCTCGGGTGTATTCCTAATGTTTTGTTGCTCGGAATGTTTCTTGTTGATGCAGGTTCGCTCTATTACTAGACTAGACCCTATGCCTCCACTTTTCCATATGCTCACCTCAACTAGGTATGTGGTTCACGAAAACGCCCCTTTTGGTTTGCTGGTCCAAAAATAGTAGTGGATTTCGATCTTCCAACCCAAAATCCAGAAAGGAAGAAACCTTTTTGGGTGACGATCTTAATACTCCCAGAATTGCTTCCTATGAGATGGTGAGACTGACTTTAGGAGATGGATGGTGCTTTTGCAGGGTATATAGACAAGTTAGCTTTTAGCAACATTATCTACCCTTCCGTTTATGTGGAGGTTAGGTATGATAGAAGTCAGCTTGCAGCGGACAGCTGGTTTTATTGCTCTGCCCCAGCCAAAGAAACTAATATCATATACATTATTATCATATATATGCGTTGAAGAATGGACTTACATAGAGAATATTGCTAAGTTCTTATATAAGGTCTTTTCTGGTTTTGCTTTAACTTTTCATCCTTTTGCTGTAAAGGTTCTTGAGCAGGCACTGTGCCTGGTGCCATTGCCTAGCATCATTATTATACTACTACATATTACTGTAAGCTATAAAAGAACAGTTTGCTTTCAGGATTACCATGTCGATAACTCATAACTCTGTACTGTGACCATGAGTGTTTGAGCATGAAAAATGAACTTCTTACATTTCGTGGATATGGTTCTCTGGATTACCACTCACCAGAGTGGTTCAGAATCTGGTCACAGGAAGCTGCTATCGCAGATACCAGTGATTGTATAATCATGGATGGTGGTGGGGGCAAAAGAGAAAGAGCTGAGAATTATCTTGAAATCATCATGTGGTGTTGTCCTTTTTATCCATTGTCGTATTGGATGTAGCCTTCCATATCTATCTTTCTACCTTATCCCGAAAGAAGTCGTTTCGTTTGTGTGTCGATATCCGAATCAGAATTGTAGGTGGTGGCGGGTTGGTTTTGATTGATTCTCTTCTTCTAGTCCCCTCGTCGGCCAGTGCAGTCTTTTTCCAGTTTCGGTGGTGGTGGGGCTCAAATGGGTCGTTAACGGTCGGTCCTTCCGTTTGCCGTTCTAGCAGATATTTAGGGATGGTAAGGAAGTCGACAACGCATCTGCAACCACATACGAGGAAGTTCAGATAAAAGTTCTATTGTTATCCGACTGTGATGTTTATCCACTCAGCTTGTCGGCTCATTATATCCTCTGTGCGTTATCCTTTGAATTTTATAAACTAAAAAATGAATGTAAAGATATTTCACCTATTATTATTTTAAAAATTAAATATTTAAGAAAAACCTCAATTTTTATACCATCAATTCTACAAATAATTTTCAATTATTATGAGAACAACAGTTCTTTCTTGATAAATTTAAAAAAATAATAATGTATACATTGAATTTTTGTACAAGCATTCGGGTCAAATGGGTTATTCGGATTATTCGAGTTGAATTCCGTTCAGTTATGGGTTATTTGGGTTGTGAATCATTCGGTTATAGTGGCTCGGGTTATGGGTTGGATCGGATTACGAATCAATTGGTTTCGGGTTACGAGCGGGTTTAGGGTGGTTGACTTTTTGTCAAATCGGGTTACGGACAGGTTGTGGGTCGGGTGGGTTGGGCGGGTTTGTCGGGTCGGGTTCGATTTTGACAGCTCTACTCCCGTGTGGCATCTTTTATTTCATGAGTCATGATAATTGGCGAGAAAATATTACATTCTTATACTTAATGTGATGATTTTATGATATGTTTGAGCATATTATCGCTAGTTTAGGGCTCACCAACCCTTGAATGGCCATAAACTCATTACTGCCTAGTGTCATAAGTCTTGTGTGTTTCAGGTGAAGAAAATTAGAAAATGTGGTAGCACAGGCAGACTTCACAAGCACAGAAACGACAAAGGAAGGACAAGTAGACCTAGAATGTTACAACGACCCATAATAGAATCAAGAAGCCAAGATACATAAGAGAGAAAACCCACATGTCAAGTAAACTTTGGTTGCTGACCCAAGTGTAAAGAACATACATTGCCCTTCCTCTTTACTTGAAGCGGCACAATCAAAAGAGGGGGCCAATTGTTTTAGGCCTGGAGGAGAATTCCTTGAGGGTCCTTTGGATGAGTAGTTTTGGTTTTAGGGTTTACGAGGGATTTGGGCTCAAATACTTCTCTAAAAGTCTAGATATTTGTGATGAACTATTTGGATCGATTTACTTGTTTGTTTGGACATGTGAGATTTAGACCCCATAACGTAAAGACAACTTTGTCCTCATTTTCTTCCCTCCTCATTGATCTCTTCTTTCTGCAATAACGAAGGAAAACACAAAACTAAAAAAAAAAAAACAGAAAGATTTGAAATCATTTTTATCCTACATATGTGTGTTTCTAAAATCCGATGAGTCTAAAATCTCTCATTTTTTTATCGTTTCCCTAAAGAGTTAATGTGATCATGCAGATTGAGGGATTTTGAAGAAATCACTTGTCCAAAAAACGACCTTTGGAATATTTGGGATGCGAGACGAAGAGTAGCACCTATGAAGTGACGAGCGTATGAGAACAGAAAATTTTACCAATTGCGAGCTACCAAGAGAGATGGAAACGACGAGCATCGTTTTTGTATTTCCCAATATTTTTGTTCCTTCTCTTTTAGCTTCATGATGACAATGACATGATTGTTTGTTTCCTTTTGTTTTGAACTAAACCCCAACTTATGGGGGAAACACCACTAAGATGTAGCTATTTGTTACTTGATGAATTAATTTATATTCTTTCTTCCATTCTCTATTGCATGACATTACTTAATGCTTTGCATTGATTGGTCACCAATACACTGATATGTAGTTAATTAGGTTATCAGTGAAAAAGAAAACCTAGTATCTTGGCAAAGTGAGAGTGGATTAAATAAGGTGCTATGTGGCCTTGAATATGATATTCGTTTTTAAATAAAATAGTTAACCCATTGAACTATGAGAGTAGATACTAGATAGAACAATAATGATATCATGGTTGTAGCTATTTGGATTAAATTGATTAGAAAAGTGAATTGATTGGGATAGAATAGGTAGTGAGTCCCAGTGTTTTCCCGTAGTTTTCTCCATTGAATTTCTCACTGCTTTAATTTGCTTAATTAGTTTATTCGTTTTGCTTTTTTTATATTAGTTTCATCACTTAAATCATTTTCAAGTCATGATCGGAAATGATTCACGACCTTATTTATAGGCGACGGGGAAAAGTCATGTCCATGGCACTGATATATACACCATCACGACATTCACAAAAATGGCGTTGTCTTGGGTTGGTGTCACGACTTGTGTTCAAGTCATGGTCATGATCCCAATCGTGACATCCGACCACTATCCAGAGACCATATTAAACTCAAAGTCTGGCTACGAATCTCACAACCATGCCCGTGACATCTGAGGGTAGGCCTGACATGCTGCTGTTCTACCTAATAGACTACTCTTCGATCTAATTTGACCCATTTGTGCCTTGAAATGAAACACCACACAACTATGGATGAAAAGAAGACAACCAATTGCACGAACACGACTCTGGACCCATTAACACACACACAACGACTCGATTCATACAACATAAATGACAAGGGAAAAGTAAAACAAGCAATGTTAGGTTGCATTCCAACAAGTGATTCTTTTACGTCTTTAGCTGGTCGTAATTGGTCGATCTCAACTCATTTTTGAACATGATACCTCTAAGAGAGGATCCATTACACTCTTTGGGAACAACTCACATTATGACCATCCGCTGACAAAGGACGGTGGTTGGCACGCACCATTTTCTCATTGCCCTTATCCTTCACACGTGGAATCTTTTGAGCTTTCACTTTATGCCTCCACACCACCTTAGTTCTCACCGCAAGTGAATTAGGCGGCGCTTGAACCTCTATAACATCACGCATAGGATGCACGAACTACTCGTGCACATGGTGGGACACAGGAGCTCTTTGGTGAGAATTAGAGATGACGTTCTTCTACAACAAAAGGGATTGCAAATTTGTAGAGGAAGAGAAGAGAGAAGCAATAAGAAGATGGGGGGGGGGAGGGGTGTGGGTATCTTTTGGACCAACCAATTGCACCGTGAATTCACTCAAACATTATTAGTATTTCTTCTCTTCTCTTCTTTTGTTAATTAGCTAACATGATGAATATTAATATGGTTATGTTCTTTATTTTTGTCATCAACTAAACCCGAAATTCTTCGGAAAACTTTGGGATTTTATTATCAAGCATTGACTCTTTTTGAATACCACGATTTAAATCTCGAATAGAGACTAAGTATAAACTCTAGCGGGGTGCAGTATAGAGCAAGTATTTAAATGTCAAACCCAGACCGGTCCATATACCCTTACTTCAATTGTTTGAAACATTATCAAGCAATCGATTTTTAGTTAAAACTATAGATTACAATTAAAAGCAATTGGGAAGGTAAATGGTTTTGAACAATAATTGAGAAGGTTTCACCCGGGTGTTACTCCCCCTAGCTAGTTATCAAGATTAGTTGAACCGAATGCAAGTGTGTGGTAAAAGCGGTTGTACAACTAGTGAAGAAGCTTCACTCTCTCGGTGAATAGGCCAAGTGATATCAAATATAGCTACCAAAATAGCTCTCTTGGCCAATCGACTAAGGGTTGCTTAGGCTTCTCCCTTGAACTATAGTTCGGACTGCCAAACTACAACCAACCCAATGTGTTAAAACGTAGTATGATGTTTGACCTAATTCGGCTTAAGTAGGTGGTTTACTTTGTCCAAGGAATTCCAGCTTTTGAAAGCCACTTAGCAAGAAGGGGATTTCCCTCTACCTAGGTCAAATCAGCATATTAGTTGGAAATGGAAAACACAACACAAACTTCATGAAAATACCTCAATACTTGCATTAAAAGACAACACAAAAATCATTCAATTCATACAAACAATCACATGATTCTAGCTAGGGTTCACAAACACCCAAGTGAAAGATGGGATCTACTCCATGCTAAGACTAGGGAATACACAAAGGAGAAGAGAAAAGACATTCTTGAGATGTTTTTTTTTTCTTCCTTTGGTGTGGAGATCAATCTTGGAGGATGAGACCGTAACTTTCTTCTCCTCTCCTGTTCGCCACTCTGATAGACCGTTAATTACACATGTTTTCACCCCTGTTCTTACACCGTTTGAGATGTGGTTTCTCGTGTTTTAGACCGATTTCACGCTAGGTTGTGCTTGTTTGTGATATTTCAGGTCCTGGCAAGCGAATGAAGGTTTAGGAGCGAGTTCGGGGTCGATTGGGCGAAGATCGGGCGCGAGACAAGTCACAAAGGAGGTCACACGGGCACACCCACAACTCACACGGCCGTGCAAGTGACCACTTTGGCCGTGTGAGATTGTGCGAGAGCAAACACGGCTTGCCCTGATGTTCACACGGCCGTGTGAAGGAGTGGTTTGGCCGTGCCAGTTTCGCCGAGAGCAAACACGGGCAGATGGAAATCTCACACGGCCGTGCGACCCTGGCCGTGTGAGAAGCCTGAAGATCGAACTAATTGGAACGCAGCGTTTTGACTCACACGGGCAACTGGGTAAGCCACACGGCCGTGCCACCCTGGC